CCCTCAACGGCTCCATCGCCATGGTGAGGGTCGGAGGGGGCGTGAGCTTCGCTGAGAAGGTGTGGCTTGCGCAGGAGGCGGGGCATGTGGGCGTTCTCATCTACCCTGATCCTGCCGATGTTCCGCAAGATCCACGGCGGCTCGGGCTCCATAGCAACGCCGTCATCTCAGAACACGTAAATACAAACAGATTCTCCATTTAGTAGGTCAATTTGCTTCCTGTTTAAATGGATGGATTACATATACTTTTTTCTCTTTAATTGTTATTTTTATTTAAAACAGAAGATTTAGATTATTTTCGTTACACCTTTATTGTCATTATATGTACAAGTACAAAGCATCAAAATGCAGTTTAGGTCTAAACAAGAGTGCAATAGCAGCCAGTGCAGGATATAGCTATACGTTATAGAAAACTATGGGTTAGGGATGTAATGATTGACAGTAAGCTGGTTGAAAACTGATTCAAATATGTGACGTTTCAAACCGGTAGAAATGTTGAGTGAATCGCGATACATGTTTTGACCAGAGAGGGCGCTGTGTTTACAGGCACAATCTCGCTTCACCTGCACATCAGCGGCGAGCAAGAAAAGGGGAGGGGAGGGGGGCAGAGTAAAAGGTTTACCAGACAAACTGTGTGCAAATACCGCAAAAAGATGTTTATTTACAGAAAACAGAACAACGAATACGATGCACATAAACCATCAGCACAGTGAAAAACTACTGTCACAGACGTCTATAACTCTATTAATAAGCCAAACCACTCGGACCGGGTGATTTGCAGCTCTGCTTGCTCTGACGAGCGCTACAGACATCACACGGTGCATTAGTGTTTCATACTGAAAGTGGGCAACACTTTATTTTGATGGTCCGTTTGAGTAATAGTAGACTGTCAGCTTAATCTTTGCTGATACAGACATTTAACTAACTATAGGTGTACATGTCATGTTCATGTCAACTTACATTAAACCTAACCCCAACCTAACAGTCTACTTATAATCTAATGTGAATGAGTTGGCATGTAGATGCAATGTAACTTTAATTCAACAAACGGACCATCAGAATAAAGTGTGATCTGAAAGTGTAATGTTTTTCAGACTGAAAGAGAAAGTTCTTCTGTTAAAGAAGCAGTTATTAGATTATTTCTTAATTTCAGTTTCTTAATTTGAATTTCTTTATTTGAATTTCTTAATTGAAATTTGGATTTCTTGATTTAAATTTTAATTTCTTAATTTTAATTTCTTAATTTTTTAATTTATTTTCTTAATTTGAATTTCTTTATTTGAATTTTTCTTAATTGAAATTTGGATTTCTTCATTTGAATTTTTATTTAATTTTAATTTCTTAATTTTAATTTCTTCATTTTAATTTCTTAATTTAAGTTTCTTCATTGTAATTTTTATTTTAATTTCTTCATTTTAATTAGAATTTCTTCATTTTAATTTCTTTATTTAAATTTTAATTTCTCCATTTAAATTTCTTAACTAGAATTTTAATTTCTTCATTTTAATTTTAATTACTTTTAATTTTAATTTCTTATATTTAATTTTAATTTCTTCATTTTAATTTTAATTTCTTCATTTTAATTTCTTCATTTTAAATTCTTCATTTTATTTTCTTCATTTAAATTTGAATTTCTTCATTTACATTTTTTAATTAGAATTTTAATTACTTAGTTTTAATTTTAATTTCTTAACTTGAATTTCATAATTTCATACACTACGGACAATTTAGCCTACCCAATTCACCTGTACTGCATGTCTTTGGACTGTGGGAGTCACCGGAGCACCCGGAGGAAACCCACGCGAACACAGGGAGAACATGCAAACTCCACACAGAAACGCCAACTGACCCAGCCAAGGCTTGAACCAGCGACCTTCTAGCTGTGAGGCGACAGCACTACCTAATGCGCCACTGCGTCGCCCTTCTCTTGAATTTGAATTTCATAACTTGACTTTTGAACATCTGAATTTTTTTAATTTTTTATAGACT